AAAAAATTCCGAATTCCGAATTCCGGATTCCGAATTCCTGGTTTTCCAACCTACCATTTTCAGCTGAATGTGCACGCGAACACCAACATAAACAATGTAGTGGCGGATCTAATATAAACAATCAATGAGCATCTTTTGAAGTTTCGGTTCTTTGGGAAAGTTTAGTGGTGCTTTATACTATCAAGTCACTAAGCTTTGCTGCAACAAACGGATCAGAGTTGAACTGTGTATATGGACGTGAGATCGCGTGAAAACTACAAGATTTCGCACTATCTCTGGAATTTCCGATACCGCATTTTCAATGTTTGCGAAAAATTTACACGTCAATTTGGCCATTGTCAATTTAATAATACACGTGATCACTTCCCATGCATTCAAACTAAACGTGTCACTTCATCGAGTCCTCCCTGGATTCAGCTGAAACGATCGTCGTCTGTATTACCGACTCAGAGATTCAACTCATTTGATTACTTTTCGGAAAAGTTATTAGGATAAATATTATCGGGTGAGATGGAATTGCAGCTGACGAAACAGTCAACCGAAGAACGCGTTCGTTTTCTGCGTGGAAATGCGTTTGAGAAACCGAAGACTTGATTGAAGTTTTCAAAGGTAAGCCAAACATCACCTGCAACGTCTTTGACCATCCACTCGTTCAGATCATTGTCTCATATACCTTTCTTTCTCCCAAAGCTAAACCCTGGTGATGGAGAAGACTTTCTTGATCCCGATTTCCGCACCATAAACTCGTTCATACCCAAACTGATCGAAAGTGCGCAAGACCGCAAGAGGTCAGTCATCACGGCATGGACAAAGCAAACACACACGGTAAGATTTTCTAGCTAAAGAAGCTATGTATAAGGCCTACTACTGCTGGGTGTGCCCAAGTTTCTGTGTTTCTGTTTCTACTGATATGTATGTTAAAAACTAAGGTACACTAAACACTGACTAAACTCGCCGGAAGGCGCATAAATTTTCCCGCTTACATGTTACATCAACGTAGCTGTG